TAGTAAGTTGTCTGACACTTGGTCTTTAACCACTTTCTCCATTATTCGGGATATTACCGGTGTTATATTGATAGGTCTATAGTTGCATACACTGGTTTTGGCCCCTGCTTTGTGCTTAGGTAATATGTATGTGGTTTTCCACACTTCAGGATAAGTTCCAGTTTCTAATGAGAGAGTAAATATTCTAAGTAACAAGACTACCATTTCCGTGCTACCATTTTTGTACATGACAGATGGTATGTCATCTGTTCCAGTACTACCATTAGACTTCAAAGTCCTAATCGCTGAGTCTATATTTTGTATATTAAAGTCTATTCCGCCTAATTTGTGGTTGCTTTTGCAAGTCATTTGGAAATTTGGGGTTGGGTGCACTCTGGCGTCATTGCAAAACCACTCATTGAGGAGTTCACTGATAACCTGGGGATCATTGTGTATTATACCCTTATGCTCCAAGCTGCTTACAGTATTGTCTTTACTACTTTTTAGACGTCTCTGCAATATCCTACAAAGTTCCTGAGTTTTGGAGTTACCCACAAGCGCTTTATTTTCTTCAAGTTGTGACATCATTTTGTGTTTATCTTCGAGCCGTTTGAGAGTTTCATGTATTTGGTTTAACGCATTAAATTCCTTAAATACATGGTATTTCCTTTTCAATTTCTTTAGTTTTAGTCGCGTTTTGCGGTCTATAAATGGAGTTGGTGTCTTTAGAGCAGATTTTAGGGGCGCGATTATGTCTCTTGCTGAGCCAATTGTTTTGTAGAAAATATCGAGTGATACTTCCAAGTTATTGTTAATGAAGTATTCTTCCCAGTCAGAACTTCTCAGCAGATCTGATAGGAATTCCCAATCGGCATTCTTATAGTCCCTATACTGATAGTGCACCGGGGAATTTTTAGGTGTGTGTTTAGTTGTTAGTCGGAATGGTAGCGTGCAGTACAATATGTTGTGATCACTGTTATCAAGTTTATTTCCTACCTCTATCGAGATGGGCTCAATTTCATGACAAAGGATTAAGTCAAGAGTGTTTTCATTTCTTGTAGGGAGGCGTACGCACTGCTTCCATCCGCCTACGTCTATAGCTTGTAGTAGCTCGTCATGGATTCTAGGTCCTGTACAGGTATCCCAGTTTACTCCAGGTAGGTTGAAATCGCCACAAACTACTTTGTAGTCAAAGTCCAGCGTAGCTGCATGCTCTAGTATTTCTCCAATAGCTATATCAGTCATTTCAGGGCTATTAGGGGGTCTGTATAAACATCCCACGAGAATTTTATTTTCGTTTGTGTGGATGCTTATCCACTTAGATTCAGGGAGTTTGTCAGTAGTTGGGTTATTGAAAGTATTGGAGTTAGTGGATTTAGAGGCATATATTAAGCAGCCGCCTCCTCTTTTGTCAACTCTATCGTTCCTATAGATGTCGTAGTTGTCTATTACTAGCTTTGAGTCAGGTATATCAGTAGTAAGCCAGGTTTCAGTCACCATTATTAGTGTTGGCCGTTCTATGTATGTCAGGCAGCGAAGCAATGTTATTTTATTAAGGAGACATCTAGCATTCAGGAGCATAATCGTTAGTAAACCAGAGTTATTGGAGGAGAGGTTAACATGGTTACTTGTTACTATCCCTACGTTATGTTTGGAGGGGCTCTGAGGTGAGACAGAGTCAGTGTGTGTACTATTTCCTGGATGAATTGTGCAGCGAGTGGGGCTATTGTTTGCTGCATCCGAAAATAATCCTGTTGCATGTTTTGACTTTTAGCATCCATGGGTGGGCATCTGCGTTCATTTACTGGTGATATATAGTTTGCTTGACCTAGGTACCCTGTGTTAAGATTACCTTGGTAGTTGTACCTCATGGGTCTTTCATAGTCGTATGTATATTGGCTTACATCACATGTGCGAGTGAAGTTATTGAGAGGGTCAAGTGTCGATCTATACTCATTAAGTTGCTGAGGTTTAACACAGATAGTGTGAGAGTTTGGATGAGAATATTCATTAATATGGTGCCTATATGAGTCCCGTTTAGTGCTCCATATATCCTGATGATCCGTTCTACGTTGCATTCCCAAGTTATGTGCGTTGCTAGGTATATTACTCCTAGTTCGGGAAGGGGTATTCTTACTCACATGATGGATGACGTTTTTGGGAATATGGTTTTTTACCCATGCATTGTCTTTTTTTAGACTGACATGTTGCTTATTAGACTTATTGAGAGGGAGGTAAGTCGAAGTCTGGAGTGGGACTCTAGGCTTTGTCGTCTTTCTTGCAGTTTCTACTGCGGGACTCTCGGGCTTGCATCCAGATTGAGTGTGGTCTGCCAGTGGTTTCTGGTCAGACATAGTTTGTGAGTCAATATCAACCTCATGTATGTCAGCAGGTTTTCCAGATGTGCTCTCATGTACTTTAGGATTGCACCCAGTGACACTGCTCTTACTGAGTTTCGAGTCGCTTTTACTTGCCGATTTTTTTTCCAACACTATACAGGTGACTTGCTGTGCTTCAGTGTCCGTCGACACTTTAGCACTGATACCAGGTGTAGTTCTCGGTGTGGTCAACTTTCTATCGAAGGAGTTCTTGGTTGCTTGCCTTTGGTTAGTTGTTTTATCCGAGACTACTTTAATAGTCTTGAATTTAGTGGCAGTAGCCAGAAGATCTTCGGCCTTCTTAAATCGTTCAGCTATTATGTAGCTGTCGAACCTAAAGAGTATAGGACAGGGATGCTTTAGGTCTTTCTTACTTAGGCGAATGCACTGACAAGGTGCACTCAAGAGATTTGCAGCCTTCAGCAATGAGTGCTGGACCGACTTAATGGGCTCGCTATCTGGTACATTATACACTATAGCGTTTTGTTTCGAAGCCAGCCTTTTAACAACTTCGCTGGATAGAAAGTCAATGGCGTTTTCTAGCTCCTTCGCATTTTCTGAGTCAGTAGGCGTCATTCTAGAGGTCATATTAAAAACCTTTGGGATTGTAGGATCCAGCAGTTCCTTTTTCATAAGTGAGATTGTTTCGGGTATACATTCAAATGAACTTAATTTCGTTTTTAATTCATCAATCTGTAGCTGCATCTCTTTAATAATGCATGTTAAGTAAGAGAGCTCCACTTTTTCAAACAGAACATCTTCCACCTGTATTACAGGGGTCAGAGTTATGTTCGAGTCTTTTCTGTTGGGTGAACTACTAATAATAAGGGGTGGTAATGTGTTATTAGACGAGCTGGTGCTATTTCCTAAATTACTGGTGTTCACACGAACACCCTTTTTAGAATTTCGGCCCATCGTTATTAAAGATTAATCAACAGTAAGCAATGAATGAATATAAACGAAAACACGTGCAAAAAGCGTCACCTGGTTCGAACGTACCGGGCAATAATAATTATCTGTGTTCGATCATAGGTGTCTGCGTTCTACCTCCCGCGTGAAGTGGTATAATAAGGTGAGGAATATTCAGGTTAGCCGTCGAGTGCTAGGTAAGGAGGGGAAATCAATCGACGAAACTGTGAAATTACATCGACTGAGATGGTTGGGACATGTGTTACGTGTGCCTAGTCATCGCCTTCCTCGACGGGCAATGTTAGCTGATATAGGGTCAGGCTGGAAAAGAGCTAGCGGCGGTCAAACCAAAACATGGCACCAGTCAATGAAATCTACAACAGTTAGTCTAAGTCACGTAGGGAGATGTAGACTTCTTGGTTGGGGTCCTCGAGACGGTAAAAACCAATGATTGGAAACAATTGGTGACATGGCTCAAAATCGTTCTCAGTGGCGCAGATGCATCCACTCCTTATGACTTATGATTTCCAATGAAACTGCTTTGTTCTCCGTTATCACTATTCCTTTGTCTCACATCTCTGTTTACTGACTATATTATGCATTTCTTCTACTTTTTTCTCTTGCTTTGTGTGCTACGAAGAGGGAGTGTGGCGACTTGAACTGCCGCACATATGTGCAAAGTTCTATGTCGAAAACCGACCGACCGACCGTACCTGTACTCACTTTTGCAAATGAACCGTTTCAAGTCGAGAAGTTCGTGAACCTACGCAGTTGTGTGTGAGTGCTGGAAGACGTGTGATGGATGAAATCTCTAATCGCATAGTGAAGGCTAAGGCGGCTTACTCCAATTTGAGCCGTGTCTAGTATCATCGTGATGTCAACCTCGCTGTCGAAGGTCAGATTTACAACGCCTAAGTGCGCGTCATCTTGCACAACGCCTGTGAAACCTGGTTTGTCCTAGTTGAGGATGTGCGGTGACTGCATATTCAATCATCATTGTCTCCGTATAAGTGCCTGCGTCTAATGGCATAATCATGTTTGTACTGAGGTCCGACAGCGTGTCTTTGAACACATTGGAGATCAACCTTAACTGAGTGTAGTCATCTGGAAACACCGGCTTGGTGGCATGGACATGTACAACGAATGTCATCCCAGAGGCTTTCGTACAAGTCACTGTTCGCTGGCTTTGGATGGAAAAAGCGGAGAGGTGGTCAGCCTATGACATGGTGTCATGGGATGAAGGATACTTGTTTTAGGTTAGCCTCGACTGATACATCACGAATCCCTCGTTGGCATCTGACAGACATATCAAATCGGTAGCTCAAAACATCAGATTTGGCCAAGAACTGCAGTCAATGGCGAACATGCTGCAATTTGCTTCTCTCATCTCTTTCCGAAAGTAACACGTTGAGTGGTGAATGTTGAATGAACGATCTTGACAAATATGCTTACTTGCTTTCTATCCCTATTCTCTTTATGTATATTGTTGTTTTATTATTGCTGTATGGCGCATCCCAGGCTGTGAGCTACACGTGTTGTGTGAAGACTGATGATTTCACTTGTTTGCCTACACTGAATTAAGTGGATTGAGATTCAAACCCAGAAGTAATCATTAGCTAGAAGTAAAGTGTCAAAGCCAGCAGTCATATATCTGCTTACACCAGTGAGTCCATTGGCTAACAGTGTGATTATTCCAGACACTTTATTTCAATTGTCAATTTCACTTAATTTTTGCTAGTAAACATGTAATACTGGAATCTGTGCAAAAGATGATGCATAATCTGACTACTCAGCAAAAAGATTTAAAAAATCTATCCAAAATACACAAAATAAACTCCAAATTTCCTGAAACTAATTCATCTCTGTCTTCATGCATTTATTCCCCTTGATGAATTTGAATAAAGCAAGAACGAAAGTGGTTTGTGCAGAATAATATGGTACCATCATTTATTTCGTAGGCTTCTCATCAGCTGCTTACAGCCTAAATACATAATGAGGTTTGCGTACAGAAAAGTTTTAACATACTTGCAAATTTTTACATGTTGCCAGTTGACAAAAAGTTCCACAGTAAGTGAACAGTGCTCAGAAAATTGCGCTTATATAGTTTTTACACATGCAGTTCAAGTTTAAACAAAATAGATGTATGCATACTATGGTAAAGGAGTTACGTAATAAAGACGAAATATGAGTTAGATACAGAGTGACTAATAAATTAGGTAACAATGTACTGAGTTCAACTCAAATCATAGAAACAAGAGACAAGCAAAATTACAGAATATAAAAGGGGGTGAGGTTAAAGACAAAGATTACGTAATCAGATGAGAGAATAAAGACATTCAGTTACCAGGGCAAAGAGAGATTAATAACTGCTTCTTTCTGAACACATAAATCTGGTTTCAAGCGTTTGATAGAGATTGCTTCGGCAAACTTGAGGAGAATGGAACTCCTTTGTCTATTGGTAATTTTAAAGGATTTCTCGATTTCTACCTCATGACCCGTGTCGAGAAGATGTCTAGTGATAGCGCTGCTATAAGAGTTTGTTCCCTTGAGACGTAGGCTTCTTGGCACAATGATCCCAATCAATGAAACCATTGAAATCATTTGTCAACATTCTGATCTACTTCCACTACCAGAGTCAGAATTCAAACGCCTACTGCTAATGTGTACCATGGATGTACAATTCCAGTTTGATAACACTCTTTACCGACAAATAGATGGCGTAGCCATGGGCAGTCCACTTAGCCCTGTTCTAGCAGATATCTTCATGTCAAACCTTGAGAAAACAAAGTTGAAGCATGCAATCGATCAAACAACTTCCTATTGTCGATATGTCGATGACATTTGTAGTATGCAAAAACGACAGTCATGCCTCCTACCTACTCAGCCTATTCAACAAAGCACATACAAATATTGTGTTTATCATGTAACATGAAAATGACGGGAAGTTCCATTTCCTTGACATCGCCATGCAACGCCTAGAAGATGGTAATCTCCAGAGGTCAATTTACCGAAAACCTACATGGAATGGACAATACTTACATTTTAATAGCTTTTGTCCAAATAGCTATAAACGAGCACTAGTCAAGACTCTGTACTATAGAGCAAGGAGAATATGCTCTACAGAGAAACTAGAGGAAGAATTTATGTTCCTCGAAAAGGTGCTGAAAAATAACGGTTACCCTCAAAGATTCATAAACAAATATGGAAGATGTGAAGACTCAAATACCAAACAAATCACAGTTGAAAAAAAGCCTGTCTTCATTCAACTAGATTTTAAAGGTGAAAACATTGCAGAAATGGTCAACAGAAGACTGAGAACATCACTGGCCAGAGCCTATCCTGCAGCTAAGTTGGTTCCCGGCCATCGAACAACATGCTCTTTGGTGCAGTCAAAAGTCGATAGATACCCTTCTCATGTAAACTCCAACTGTGTATACAAATTTACGTGTATCTGCGGAAGCAGTTACATTGGGAGAACAGAAAGAAGGGCACACCTCCGATTTTCTGAACATGTGCCAAGAAGCCTACGTCTCAAGGGAACAAACTCTTATAGCAGCGCTATCACTAGACATCCTCTCGACACGGGTCATGAGGTAGAAATCGAGAAATCCTTTAAAATTACCAATAGACAAAGGAGTTCCATTCTCCTCAAGTTTGCCGAAGCAATCTCTATCAAACGCTTGAAACCAGATTTATGTGTTCAGAAAGAAGCAGTTATTAATCTCTCTTTGCCCTGGTAACTGAATGTCTTTATTCTCTCATCTGATTACGTAATCTTTGTCTTTAACCTCACCCCCTTTTATATTCTGTAATTTTGCTTGTCTCTTGTTTCTATGATTTGAGTTGAACTCAGTACATTGTTACCTAATTTATTAGTCACTCTGTATCTAACTCATATTTCATTATGGGTAAATTTTTATTTTGATAGAGTCTCACAGTGTTTTACAGTAATATTTACTGATGACGTTTCGAGCACAAGCTATTGCTCATAATCATATCAAGTTACTCACACAACTTCTTTCCTTCATTTATATACATGTGTGGAATCGACTAGATATTGGAATAAAATTCAATATGAGATAATGTACATTCAGAAATAATAGTACGAGTGTTATTAATCCATTGCAATTAGATGGGAAATACGACGAGTGTTTTTATAGTCATAATAAGTTGATTGTTAGAATGTGTTTGAATGGAAATAGATTATTTATTATCCTCTTCTGATTTGACTGGTGGCAATAATAAGAGTGGTATTAATCCATTGCAATTAGATGGGAAATACGACGAGTGTTTTTACAGTCATAATAAGTTGATTGTTATAATGTTATGATGTACCATATAAAGAAGGGACATCTGAGACCCTACGTAGGATTCTAAATAAAGCAGGAATTAGGGTGGCATTTAAACCTACAAACTCACTCAGGGACAAGCTCTGTAGGTTAAAGGACCCAGTGGACCCAATTAGACAAAATAATATAATTTACAAAATACCCTGCAATGACTGTGAGGTCAACTACATAGGTCAAACTAGTAGGTCAGGGGTAGTCAGATTGTCAGAACATAAGAATTTAGCTAAGATAAGAATGGTTGACCCAGAGAAGATAAGTAATTTAGGAAAAAGCTCGGCAATCGCAATGCATGCATTAACACACAACCACACAATAGGGTGGGAGAGGGTTAAAATTCTAAAAAGTAATCTAGGTAGGTGGAAAGAGAGGTTGATTACTGAATCTTTGTTCATCGAATCTACACCCAACACATGCAACAGAAGTGACTCAATGCAAATACCAGAAATATGGAAGATATTATTGCCGCCAGTCAAATCAGAAGAAGATGATAAATTGTCTTAAAATTCTATTTCCATTCAAGCACATCATAACATTATAACAATCAACTTATTATGACTGTAAAAACACTCGTCGTATTTCCCATCTAATTGCAATGGATTAATACCACTCTTATTATTGCCACCAGTCAAATCAGAAGAGGATAATAAATAATCTATTTCCATTCAAACACATTCTAACAATCAACTTATTATGACTATAAAAACACTCGTCGTATTTCCCATCTAATTGCAATGGATTAATAACACTCGTACTATTATTTCTGAATGTACATTATCTCATATTGAATTTTATTCCAATATCTAGTCGATTCCACACATGTATATAAATGAAGGAAAGAAGTTGTGTGAGTAACTTGATATGATTATGAGCAATAGCTTGTGCTCGAAACGTCATCAGTAAATATTACTGTATAACACTGTGAGACTCTATCAAAATAAAAATTTACCCATAATGGAATTACACTCTACCACAGTGCCCAAGTTTTATTCTTATATTAACTCATATTTCGTCTTTATTACGTAACTCCTTTACCATTGTATGCATACATCTATTTTGTTTAAACTTGAACTGCATGTGTAAAAACTATATAAGCGCAATTTTCTGAGCACTGTTCACTTACTGTGGAACTTTTTGTCAACTGGCAACATGTAAAAATTTGCAAGTATGTTAAAACTTTTCTGTACGCAAACCTCATTATGTATTTAGGCTGTAAGCAGCTGATGAGAAGCCTACGAAATAAATGATGGTACCATATTATTCTGCACAAACCACTTTCGTTCTTGCTTTATTCAAATTCATCTCTGTCTGTTGCACTTCGTAAACAAGAGGTGAAGGACACATGACGGATTACTTTTCACCGTTTAAATCTGTACCAACAAGTCTCAAGCCCCTGGTTCTTGGTGTGGAACCAGGAAGACCAACTAAGCAGTTTACAACTCCTCACTTGACTAGCTCAAGCCAACAGACAAAAGCTGAACGGATTATTGACTATAGGTTTTGATTTGGCCCTTTTTCAAAGTAATCCTATGTTAGCTAATATTGCTTGATGAGGAAATGAATGGCTCGATGATATCCGCAACACGTGTAATAGCCGCCCTCAATCGATTCAACTTCACAACCTTATCGGCAGACACTCCCTAACACACGGCTCCTAACCCCAAAATTTCTGATCATATCATACCACTACTTAACACCGGGGAAAGAACACGAACATGTCTGTTCAGAGATAGCTAGCCCCTTCGAGTCCTTCAGTTTCAATGACAATACCTCACAATCATAAAGAATGACAGAACTAAGTGCTGTGCAGTATATACGTCCCTCGTTCGATAGCGGGATATCACATCTACGCCAAAGATGACGTATATACAGCATATGCATCATGAAATAGTTGTTTCACAAGTTACGTCAAATGAAATAAAGCAACTGTGATCATGCATACAGCTAATGCAAAACAAAACACCACTTACTTTGTATTCTTTATGACGATTCTTCAACAGATCTAAACCGGGAGGAGTAGTTTTAGGATTGATATAATCAAGTACAGCTTGACGAACATCTAATGGCTGCTTATCAGCCTTTACAGCGGTATCATTCGGAACACCTTTTAGATTATTACCACTTGAAGGTGGACTTATTGGTGACTAATAAACATTTTTTAAAGAAAAGAATACCAAAAATAAAATATTGCCATTTATTTATTTACTATTAGTGAAAATCATTCCGTCAAGTAAAACTTCTGGTCAAAATATCTAGTAAAAGAACTGCGAAATACATTCTAATTTTTAGTTTCTTCCTCTCTTCTAACTGACAGACAAACAACGAAGTGAAGTTAGGTACAAGGTAGCCTGTGAAGAAGACAATTCCATTCTGTGCAAGTGGGGCCTGTGCTTGCACCAGCTGAAGTATAACCACGACAATATATATTGTGAGCCGTAGGTAACCACTGCTTACGTAAATGAAAGAATATTTATGTACACTGATATTGTATTCAGAAGATAACAGTGACTAGATGAAGACATAGCGTGGCATATGCTACCGATAAGATTGATCAGGTATATATATACATACGCACGTCTCCACTGCTTTCGGTTCTCTGCCAGCGTTTTCATCTGGCTCCACCTCTGCCCACATGCTTTCATCTCCTCTTCACATCACCGGCTCCCCCATGTCACCCCCAAACTGACGACCAACTCGCCACTTCTCGTTCAGGTTCCACTCGAGAGAGAGCCTGGCGTGTGATGTCACTTGATGGTTTCCTCAGAGTATGGCCAGTCCACCCCCATTTCTTCCTCCTTATTTGTTGTACATTCAGTTCCTGGTTGGTTCGCTCCCTGAGATCCTTGTGGCTGATCCTTTCTGGCTCGCCATCTTATCTTGAGCATTGAGCGAAGACAGCTGTTGATGAAGGTCTGTAGTTTGTTTGTGGTGCTCTTCATGACGCTCCAAGTCTCTGATCCGTATGGTAAGTAGCACTGACTTCATATTGGAGTTGAAAATTCGGATCTCATTTTTCATGCTGAGTGCTGCTGGCCTCCACACAGACTTGAGAGAAATGAGAGCTTGTCTTGCTTTCCCAATCCTCGCTTTGATATCCTTGTCAGTTCCGTCAGCCTGTAGTTGAAACGAGGCTTCATAGGAAGGTATGTAGGCAAGGGAGGTCGCTTCTTACTGATTTCTCCCATTATCCTGGCTGACTGTTGTCTGTTGTTGTTGCTGTTACTGTTGGCCAGGAATCTTCACCACCTCTGTTTTCTCTACGTTCACCTGAAATTCTATCTTCTCTGGATGCTTCTTCTTCCAACTTGTCTCTGTTCACTTGCATATCTTTTAATTTGTGGGAAATCAGACATATATCATCGGCGAAGTCCATATCCTCCAAGTTTTTTTCGTACGGGTCCATTTTATGCCTGTCTCCTCACTGCTCGCTGTGTTTCTGTAGCATTATCCAGTCTATCGCAATCAGGAAAATCATTGCAGATAGCAGGCAGCCGGCTTGTCTTACTCCTGTCTTCACTTCGAAGGATTCCGTGAGTTTCCCGTTGTGAATTACTTGGCATGAAGCATTTTCGCACGCCTGCTGGATGAGATGTATGGTTGTTGGCAGGATGCCGTACTAGCGAAGCAGTTGCCCAATCACCTCTCGATTGACCCCGTGCTATCGAAGACCTTTCTAAATTCAATGAAGTTGAAATAGGGAGCTGACTGCCATACCAAGCTCTGTTCAATGGTGATCCGTAGTGTTGCGATTTCATCGATGCATGATTTATTTCTCCTGAATCCAGCCTGTTTCGGTCAAAGTTTAACATGCAGGGCGTGTTTAATTCTCTCAAGGATGATACGATTTAGTATTTTGCTTGGGGTGGACAGGAGGATGACACCATGCCAGTTCTTACAGTGACTTAAGTCCTCTTTCTTTGGCAGTTTGAATAAATAGTCTTTCTTCCAGTCTACAGGTATGTTGCCCTCTTTCCACACCTTCTCCAGTGGTGATGTCGTCAAGTCCGCCGATGTTTATGGGTCCATTTTCAAGGCCTCTGCCGGGATTCAGTCTGATCCTGCTGCCTTTCCAGCTTTTAGCATCTTGATTGTCTTCAGGACTTCTGATTTCGTCGGGGGGTTGGTGTTCACTGGTAGCTCTGCCTCCGTCGTTAGTATTGTTGGGCGCGTTGTAGGAGGTGGTCGATTTAGGAGTCTTTTGAAGTGTTCAGCCCAGTGTTTGCTTTGCTCCACTTCTTTGGTGATTGACTTTCCATTGTCATCTTTCACTGGCTTGATTTGTGTCAAACTTTCGCCCGATAGGTACCTAGTTGTTTGGTAGAGTGTTGCGAGGTCTCCTTTGCCTGCAGCTTGTTCTGCCTCACTTGTCATGGCTTCATAATACTTTCTTTTGTCTTCCCTGGCACTCTTCCTTACTCTTTTGTTCAGTGTCTTGTAGCTTGCGTTCAAATCCTGTTTTTGTTGCTCGTCGGTGCACTGGAGAATCTTTTGTTTCGCCATCCCTCTCTCTTCTATCAGTCTCCAAGTGTCCGTAGTGAGCCATTGTTTGTCCTGTCTCTTCTTTCTGCCTAGAACTTCCATGCAGGTTTGACTCCACACTGTTTTCAAGTTGTTCCAGTGCTTTTCGACGCTGACCTCTTCGCCAGTGTTGATTTGTGTCTCGGCTTTGTCTTTTATATTTGCAGTGAAGATGTCCTTTGTGTCCTGGTCCTTCAGTTTTTGAGTGTTGAACTTGGCTTGTGGTCTATCTGCAGCTCCTGTTTCTCCGAAAGCTTTTAATTTGATTTGGATTGTCCCTTGTACGAGATAGTGGTCTGAGCCAACGTCTGCTCCTTTTCCTACTTTTGTGTCTAGTAAGCTGCATCTCCACTTCCTGGAGCACCATTGAGATGAAGTCAATTTGGTTTTTGTTTCGCCCGTCTGGTGACACTTATGTAAACTTTGGATACCCTTGTGCTTGTTAACGCTGCCGCCAATCACTAGTTCACTGAAGGCGCAGAAGTCGGCGAAGAGTTCTCCGTTTTCATTCATTTTTTCGAGAGATTCTCTACCCATGATGAATTTTCTTCCTGTGTTGTCTGGTCCCAGTTTGGCGTTCATGTCTCCCATTGGTATTTTAATGTCACCGACTGGAATAGTGTCCATTGTTGCGTGTACTTGTCTGTAGAGTTCTTCTTTGTTTTCGAGGTCTGCGTTGTTTGTGGGTGCATAGCATCGTATAACTGATACTTTCCTTCCTTTGGAGTTGAATCTGGCGGTCATTATCCTGGGCGAAATCGTCCCCCATTACATCAGGGCTTTCGTTGCAGTTGGTGACATCATGACAGCCACACCCTGGGTGTGCATGTGGTTGTCTTCTGGGTGACCAGAGTAGATCATTGACTCTCCTGTTGACAATTTTGTGAGTCCACTTCCATTCTATCTGCTTTCGCATATTACCAGTACTTGAATACCATATCTTTCATGTCATTTGCAATCTGGACAGCTTTGCCAGTCTCATACATACATCCCCATACAGACTTTTTCTTCAGTCGCAAGGAGACTCATTTGTACTGATGTTTCTGTAGCAACTTTGTTTACAGAGTGAGGTTGTTGGCCTTACGCCCAGGAAGGGGTTTTTACAGAGGACGGACGGCCGCAACGTCAACCTTTTCTAACCGAGTCCATTTCTCCATAGCAAGGAGAAATAGCATGACTGTCGTGCTGGTTATCCAAGGGAAACACCTCACTGATGTTACATCCCTGTGTATCTTTGTTCACAAACTCCCAGCATAGTGTAAACAACTTACACTGTGAGTGTAGGTGATTTTGGCCTTACCCCAACCCCACTATCCAAACAGCCTTCTGATATGATAGAACTTGCTGAAACACTTAATTCCAGCCAGTTTAGTTCATTGTGTCATTGAAATAATGCCAACGCGCGACCATCACGTCAAGTTATTATTTAATGTACAGAACTGTGAGACTTTATCACATAAATTTACTCTGTGGTGGAATTATAACGTATATTTCCGTATTCTGAATCCCTTACCATATTGGAACCAGAAACATTCGCAGTAAATTCTGTTTTTTGACGACGTGAATCAAAAGTGTTTTCTTTTACTGTTTTCTTATCATCATCATCATCGAAAAACTCCTTCTCGTTAATGTCCAACATGTCTAATTCATCAGAACCACCACCACCACTACCACCAGACAACGGTTGATTACCATTATCCATTGATTTAACAAGTTGAGCAAGTATAAGCTCATCTTCCTCATAATATGTTTTACCCTATAAGAATGAAAATAAGTAAATAGCCTTTGTTTAATGAAGAAAAAACAACGCAACGGTGAATTTAGCTTTGACATTTTAAAAACCCTTCTTTTCTAGCATACTATCCTCAAATACTTGGAGATAAAAACACCCACTACAACTACTCAGAGTTAAAAAAAAATTCTTAAACTGACTTAGGAACTTGACTGACTACACGCAGGACACACTAGTTACTTACTAACTAACCCAGTGTGTCCAATCAATCAAAGTACGAAGAACTTTTAAACTAGAGTAATTTTCATACACGGATAAAATCTGGGCACTGTGATAGAGAGTATACTTCCACTGTTGGATAAAATTTTTATTTCGATAAAGTCAAAAAGTGTTACTGTGTGTGCATATGTGTGTGTTTCTATATAACACTGTGTGACCTTATCAACAACATAAATTTTATCCATAAGGGAGTAATTTTCCTCAAATAGTTTACAAACAGTGTTACCTTTTCTAGCCATTGTAATAATAGCTATTGATGAAGTTAGAGGTTTGCATTCACCTATATTCCACTTAAATTTATTAACGTTTAAGCTCAATAACCTGGAACAGATTTTCTTTGTGCTAGGCTACAAGCCACACACTTGTCGGGAGTGACGGTTAGAGATACTACCCAATTACCCAAGCTGAAATAGGGATCAGGGCTAGAATCCGTGACCCTTCTACTGAAAACCGAGTGCTTAACCAATGAGCCTCATCTCCACCTATTTATACTCAATAACAAGTGTGAGAAAATAATTTCTAAATTAGTGATACACTGATATTACATGTTGAGATTTTTCAATCTTTTTCCTTAATGAAAATTGCCGGATGAACGAACTTACGCAGCCTATCCAATTGATTCTTCATGACAAAAGTCGGGTTTAGGAAAAGCATTTGATACTATTCTTAACCAACTAGCTGGAACTTCTGAGTTAATGATGGTACTTCACTGAAAAGCACCATATAAAACCTTTCACCTCAGATACTTAAGAACTATTCACAAATAAACACATTGAATGAGATGTGTACATATGCGGCTGATTGGCCATAAACAGGATGAAATGTGAATCCTCAGTTCCCCCGTACACCATCACAAAACAGTGAATAACTCAGATTCGACTTAATTTGCTTTACTCAAATCCATCGACAAGCCCTACTTACCTGAGTAGAAGACAACGTTGTATTCGGAACCGTATGTGGCGGATTTTCTTTCAGCAAATCTAATAATTCTTGTTCAAGATCGTCATTGCTGATGTCATCTTGGTTGATATTGTCATGTGTGTTATCCATTTTAGGAGAAAGCCACTGCATTGTGAAATACAAGCCCAAACAATTCTATCACAGTTGAAACCTGTAGCTTTGAGAAGTTTGCACGAGTGTTTATTTTGCCTTAAAAACACTCATCGGGTGACGGGGCTGGGGTTGGTTTTGAATAATGAGTGGAGTAGTAAACAATCGATTAACGTAGTATCTACGAAAACAATAAACCGTGAAAAATCGCACAATGAATGTTCTGAACTAAATAATTACTACGTGTTTTATAAGCGTTTTTTAGCTTGATCACCTCTAGAATAAATTTTGTCAGATATTCTCTTGTTTATGCTTTAATCATAACATTATTGTGCGAGTATATATTAATAAAAGATAAGGATAATGATCCTCATACCTCCGCCAAGCATTAAGATGTATGCTCATCGGGACAATTAAACTCCATGTATCAAAGTAACCTGCTCGTTTACACTAAATGTTTAGACCTAATCGATTGATGGAGAAATGAATACAACAATTGTGACCGGTGAGAGTTTAACCAGCAGCACTCATCATTCTTAACATATCTAATTTCCACCACTGCTTGCCGAAGCATTCATAGCCCTTCAGCTTCATTGTTTAGTTAACTGGTTAAAACTAGGTTACCCAAAAGACATTTTCGCTGGACTCCAAGCTATTAGCCATGCACAGTGAGGTATGATAGTAGCACCCAGTAGGTGAAGTGGGACTCAAACTCAGTATCCACTCACTGAAAACCATTTTCCTAAACTATTAGTACCACAAAACACTGAGTGTTTGGGGCAGAAAAATCCCTTCTTGACTGGATCCCAGTAGATAGTCGTATGTGTGCGGCCCGTTAGAAGAAGGAAGGACAGCGTTACCCATCGTTGTCTTTTCGTAGTCCCCGCATACGCCCCAAAAGACTGAAGTTCGGATGAACTAAGGGATGATTTCTACCTGAAACTTTCTAGTTTCCTGCAAACAGCAAAACGTTCAGATATAGTTGTTTTAGCAGGCGACTTCAATGCCCAAGTAGGGAAGTTGTGCCAGACTGAGGATACATAATAATATATATTTCCTATCAATGTAGGACACGCCAGTTGTACAGGCATAGATAAGTATTATTTAAATTACATGAATTTGATTTATAGTGACATTACATGGTTGCTGTCCTCTCTGACATCAGTTAGTGAGCACATTCTGATAGTTAGTCGTTCAATGGAGCACATAAAGAAATATAGAAATATTATCTTCGCATTAACAAAAAAACCCAAGTACGTGTCGGATAAATTACAAATATTTGGGAAAAATAAAGCTTGAAGTCAATTCCTCCATGTAACTTTGTTGTGTGCGGCATCGTATCTTGTTTTATGTTCAAATTGTGTGTTAATTTAAAATGAGTGATTAATTTGTATGATTTTGACATCATTATTTTGCAAGTAATACCAGATGTGAATTCAACTGAATGCAGATTAATATTGGTCATTGTCAAGCAGATTTGTTTTACTACACTCAAGTCACCCATAGCCCGCCATTTGTCACAGCATGGTTGCTCCGTACGAGTAAGTTGATAAACACGTAGAAAGCTATATAAAAACCTTTTTAGATCGTTGACAGTGCTTGTATAAGATGCTGTACAGCGTCTTGTTATGGTGACAGTGGATTTCATCAAGGATGCTGAGCCATTACTAGCCAAACCTTGAGGGATGATATATGAGTAGGTGACTTCAATTGTTTCTCAGCTTCAGTCGGAATGTAGATCAATGCAACTTGTACTGCGAAGTAAATACAACAGAAATGTACCAGAAGACAAAGAAAAAGTATGTGATGACAAAAATATTTGTTTATATTCGTTGTACATTGTAATTTGATGAACAAAAATTTGTTTCTACTATGTCTTTTTATGCATTTATGCTACTAGTTTATTTATAGTCTTTAGGGAAGTAAGGGTATTTAAGCGCGTTTAGGTACTGTAGTAGACTAAAAGTTGATTCGTTCTAGGAATAAATAGTTGATTTATATAGTCGGTAGAGTGAAGTAGTGTGTACAGACAGCGTTTGAAACTTAAAACTGTATTGCAGTTCCTGATATCTAGGGGCAGATTGTTCCATATTTTAGAATACATGACTGTGAAGAAGTTTTCGCGGAGTGTTGACTTAAAGGCTTTTATTGTCACTGTGCAATTTTGGTTACGCAGATCGTAAGAGCCTTCTTGTGCGAACTGTATGTCCTTACTGTCTGAGAATGATATTTTGTGTAGGACCTTATAGAAGAATACTAGGTTTATAATTAGTCGTCTTATCCAGAGTGGGTCAAGTTGTAGAATCATGCACCGTGAAATGTAGTCTTTCTTACATTCGTAGCCTAGTAGTTTCGAGGTAAAATATCGTTGGATACTTTCAATTCTTAGCTTTTCACGTGTGTGAGTGCTGCTAATAATAAATGGACAGTATTCTAGTAGTGGCCTCACACAGGTTTTGTACAGAATGAGCTTTGCTTCATTGTCGTGAAAGTTCCTGAGTATGCATCCTAAGAGCATCCTCGACTTTTGAGTCTGTGATGCCACTTGCTCAGAGAATGTTAGGTTACTCGAGTACCTCAGACCTAGGTCAACGACACTTTGGAGTTTGGTTAGGTTAGCCGATTGAAGCGTTAACTTTATGTCGATTGAGGGTGCACCGAAGCAGATCCAGCCACATTTTTTAAGGTTAAATTGGAGGTTCCATAAAGATGACCAAGCAGTCACTTTATCTAGTTCTTTTTTATAACGTTCTGGAAGTACCCTAGGTCATCAGATTGGAATGTATAAGCTACTTTGAGGTCATCTGCAAAGTTGAATGGTTTCCCATGAGAAAAGCAAGCGCATATGTCGTTAATATATAGGGTAAATAGAAGGGGTCCAATGACACTACCTTGTACTACACCAGAGGTGACTGGGCTAGGTTTCGAAGTTATAGATCCGAGTTTAACTATTTGGGACCTATTGTTAAGGAATTATTTAAGCCATCCTAATAGCGGGTCACTTATTCCTAAGGATTTCAGCTTGTGCACTAGTAGTAAATGGTCGACACGGTCAAATGCCTTTGAGATGTCAAAGTAGATGACAAGTACTAGTTGTCGTCTGTCACGACTGCTGGTCACAAAGTTAAAGAAGTCCAAGTGGCATGTTAAACAAGATCTGGATTTTAGGAATCCATGTTGGTTCGGACTTATAATATTGCAACTAAGCATATGCTTCATTAGGTTTTCTTTAACTAGTCTCTCCATAATTCTAGAAGCTATAGGTGTGATATTAATTGGCCTGTAGTTACTGACGTCTGTTTTCGAGCCAGATTTGTGTTTAGGCATAATAAACGTTGTTTTCCATACATCAGGGTAAGTTTCGGTTTCTAAGGACATTGTGAATATTTTAAGCAGTAGTAAGGGAATGTCAGGGCCACCATATTTATAAAAATAGGATGATATGCCGTCAGTACCGAAACCTTTTGAGCATTTTAGGGTTCTTATAGTTTGTTTAATGTTAGTATAGTTAAATTCAATAGTGCTAATTAAGTTTGGTGTGTGTGGAGATGGAGTTTGTGCCACATTAGTAGCAGGGTGTATATTGAGTAACTGGACTGTGGGCTTAAGGTAGTTACCTGCAAAAGTTGAGTTGAATAATTCACACATGTCTGCGGAATTAGTACATAGCCTGCCTTTGTCTATGAGGAGGGAAATGCTGTGATTTTTGCGATTCATTCGCTTCTTTAAGATTTCCGTGAGCGCATACACTCTAGCAGGACTGGCTACTGCGATGCGTTCTTCGTTTCTCATACAGAAATTTCGAGCTTGTGAGATGGAACTAAGGGTGTTAAGTATTAAACCTAGTGTGCCAAAGTCGTGGTGTTTGAAGTAACTTGTTGAGAGTTTCTTCAGTTTCATACGATCCTTTGGTTTTATGAATGACTTCCTATGTGGGGACAGCTCAAGTGTTTGCAGTGGAATGACAGCATCTAAGCATGTGTTCGAGTTATGGTAGAAGATGCTCAGAGCTCTCGAGAGGTCATCAGTAGTGAAGTATTCGCCCCATTCGGAGGATCTTAGCACTGATTCTACGAAGACCCAGTTTGCCTTACTATAGTTCCTATATAGTACTTGTTGTGAAGTGGAGGTATGAGCTGCATTGCTATTCAGTGGAAGTGGCAGAGCACACATTACTGTTTTGTCGTCACTACCTGAAAACTTAGAACCCACTAAGATTGAGAGGGGGGAGTAAATGAATGGTACGTACGGAGTTCCCTGACGACGAAAAGACAACGGTGATCGTCTTCTAAACTTCTGTTCAGATAATCATCTGTTCCGAGTGAGCACTAAAGGCACAAAGAGAGACATTGTGTAACCTGGCGACCTGCAACACCAAATCAACGCTGGAGTCAAATAGACCACGTAGCGACAGGCTATCGTTGGCGAAGGTTAATAGAAGACTGCCGCTCCTTCTGGAACACGTGCGTAGACACCGATCACACCCTGGTTTGCGCACGTTTATGCTTACAATTGAATGGTCATAAGGAGCTGTTGGCAGCGAAGCAGTTACGTTACCAACTAAATCAAGGCACTGAGTCCCTATTTAAGGAAGAAATAGTGAAACGAGTGTCTGAGATCAACAGCAAGAACTCCCCCCCTGAGGATGCCTTGCACAATACACAGTTAGCTGTAGACACAGATGTAAATGCTGTTAATAACTTAAAACCAAAAGTTACTAAGAGCCAATGGATTTCTACTACCTCATCCGAACTAATTGAGGCAAGAAAACTGATTCTGACTGGTTTCAAATACGATGAGGAGCGAAAGCTGCTCAAATGAAAACGAACAAGAAGTCTTCGCAACGACCGTGAAAAGTGGTGAACGAAAAAAGCATCGGTGACAAGTAACACCAGATAACTAACTATTTGGACTGATCAGGGAAACAGGTGGTAAGAGGCAAATGATAAGTGAAACAATCTCTGAGTAAAATGGCATCATAATTAGCTCTCAGGATAGACGACTAGAACGCAGGAAAGAAC